CGAATTAGGATGGACAAATAAGAGTTTGAAATTTGATTCTCAGACGTTACAGATACTTCAGTATAGCTTTACTTGAAGATTGTCACTTCTCCCTTTAACAACTCAATATATTGAGATCTTGTGTATTTAAGGCCCTACTTCACACCCATTATTTGAAAAATTAAAAGGTTTTGAATAGTATTTTGAAGAATGTGTGATTAAAAAATAAGAAAACTTTATTGATTTGTGTGTAAAATGTTTTATTATGTGAATTGTGATGGAAAATGATATTGTAGCAAACAATTTTTAAAGATTGTCAAACAGAGGCTAAGGCACATGAATAGTTGTGTAGACCACGGAATAGTGCAAGATGGGAATTGATGGTGTAGAAAAGTTCATCTGCGACATGATCGGTGTGGCCTTTGCTAGGGTCATTTATTTGATTTTTCATACTATATATAAGAAAAAATTGAGATGGAAAATTAGTGATGGACTCACAACCTTTCAATTAGTGTAATTTTGGTTCATAACCTTTAAAAGTGAGATTTTGATTTTTCAACATATTTAAACATATGAATCTAGGTCACTATGTCATGGGAACCGTCAATGTGGACGATAAAATCGCACATGACATTGATGATTTCAATTAAATTTGGATCCAGATTCATGTTTTTACATAGGTTGAGAACTTACGACCTCGCATTTAAAGGTTAAACGCCCAAAATCACGCTCCCCGAAAAAATTATTTCTTAATCTTTGAAATGCATGAAACTAAAGATGAATAATATATGATGACCAGCAGAGCCAGTTCTGTGTTTGATGGGCCCTGAGGCGAATGATGAAAATTAGGCCCCTCAGTGACAAAATTCAAAGGCGTATTAAGGATGTTATTTTGTTGTGGGATTTAAGGATGTTGTTTTGTTGTTGAATAATTAGTCTTGGGCCGACTCACCTTATTTTAGGTCTGCTCACCTTGTTTAAAAAAATAAAAAAACAAAAAATAAAGCCAAAATTAGGCCCCTAATGGTCTTGCGACTGAGGCAGAGGCCTCACCGGGCCTGATGACCAGAAGTCAAAATAAGTAACTAAACTCGGGAAAAATAAGAAAACATGGTATGCATTTATATTTGGCAATAGATCGTGGGCAAAAGTCTTAATAGATATTTCTTATTTGGTTCAAGACAGAGACTTATAAAGGTCACATTTTGTGACTTCTCTTAGCAATAATAAAAGATTGCAAAATTGGTTGTTTTTAGCATTTAATGATGGCTAAATGTATATTGCTTTGCCTCTCATAGAGAAGTCATAAAATAATGATTAAAAGTCGATTTCTTCATTTATGGACTGGTAAACAAAGTTCGAATTTTATAGATTGATAAAAAAGTAATAAGAAAAATCGACCCAAAATCCCACATTTTGCCTCCAGGCAATATGGAAAAATCCTACTGTTTTGCATCTTCTAGTTCAACTTAACAAGAACATCGATATTAACTAAAAGTTATGATTACTTCACATTGCACCTAAAACGAAATAGATTTGCACTTAGATCTGAATACATTATTTTCAAGAAGATTAATATCGATATATGAATTATTATACTTTATCTGTCTCATTTATATAGGCTGGTTTTATTCTTCACAAGGATTAAGAAATCTTATTTAATATTATTGGAAAAAAAGTAATTTTTGTCAAAAAATTTTATGCTCTACCCTTATTTATATATGTACAATTTCAAGATGGAATGGGAAAAATCGATTATAACTAGACAAATTAAATAAGGTATATTAGTAAACAAATAAAATAAAACATTTTCAATAAAGAAACACGATTATATAATTGAGAAAAGAAAATAATGAAAAGTTAGCTTATATAAATGGGACGGATCTTTTATATTACTACTTAAAGAATTTTATTTTTGAGATTCGGAATATGCATCTTCTTTTGTTTTTAAGTTTCTTGAAATTTGATTCAGACCAATACTCAGATGTCAACGTTTTCGATCCCAAGGTCAAATTAATATTGTTGGAAGTGCTTCGTTAATCACACGTTTAATTACAAGTTGATTATATTTTAATTAATTAGTTTATAAGTGCGATTTAGAAATGAGAAAATTATATTTAGTTGACCTCTTAACACTAGGGTTTGTTACGTTAATTATACTCTAATTAATCAAGTTTCAAGGCTTAGGTCAATTAATTAATCATATAGTCCCTGTCCACACTTCAACTTGCTAGCTCCAATTGTACATATTAATTATTTGTAATATATTTATTATAACATTTAGGAGTCGTGCCTTCTAACCTACATTTAGGAGTCATCCCTCCACAATATTGTTAGGTCTAATATTGTAATTGACGATTCTATGAATAAAATGAGCTTAATTGAACATTGTTGTAAAAGTCAGGGATTTACGTTGCAATTCTGTATAGTTGGTTAGGCTAGGGTTTGCACTTGGAACAAGGTAGAAGATGTGCTAAAATTTCGCTAGCTGCTCAACTGACCATCGCTTGAGCATAAAATGCAGAAAGCTTGTTCCTCGCTCTTCGCCCCTACATCGCTCAAGCGTAAACACATCGCTCGCTTTTCGTCGACTTGTCACTCGAGCGACAGTGTTATGCGACCAAATTCTAAGCTGCATTTTAGAGAATTTTATACGGTCCAAGACACTTAATTACCCTCAAGTATAAATACCAAATTTTGGGACGTGAGAAATAGAGTTGCCATATTATTCTTTCATTGTATAACATCTACACATCTTTTTTCAAGAGATCCAAGTCGAAAATCATCGGTAATTCACATACATAACATCTTGTGATTCGGCAATTAGGTTTTGGGAAAATATCAATCTTCATGACCCAAAACACCGTGTTTCCTTAATCTATTGAGGAAGAGATTCTCTCATTGGAGGATTGAGAAATGTAGATTGAAGCGCAATTACAAGTACAAGAATATGCAGTTCTTGATGTTCCACTTAGAGAGACATTCAGCATAAGACCAGGAAGCTGTGGGAGACAATAGATTGGGTTGCAGGAAGTAGATCATGAAGTGTAGCAGGAGACTAAAGGTATCTATGGTAGCAAGAGGCTGGAAAAGGTAGATCAGGAGGTCTAGTAGGTGACTAGAGACATCTACGATAGTAGGAAGCTATAATAGGTAGATCAGGCAGCCTAGCAGGTTAGATGTGTCTACATCAGTAGATCGTGAGATCGTGGCAGCGGGTCTTAGTGGGTACAAGATTTGAAATTGCTGTGTATTCTCTGAACTGCCTTTAGTGGAAGCAACTGCATTAATCACGAAGTTTTTCCTACGTTGGGTTTCTCCCTAATCAAATACTGTGTTACTTATTGCTTTCCAATTTATACAACTACAGTATTTAAACATAGAATTAATTGGATTGTATGTTTAACCATTTAGAACTTAATTAAAGTGACTTGTTGCTTTGGTTAGTGCAATTCTGCACGTAAGGTCAAAGTAATAAATTGATTAGAACGTAAACTTGGTAACATTAAAATTTGAATTGGTAATCACAGCGTCCCGCAAAGTTTCAAGCGATGTCATGCGTTCTAAGCGAGACTTTTCAAGTATAAATTTACTTTGGAAGAGAAATTAATATACTCCCTTTGTTCCAAAAAAATGAATAATGCTATTTGCAGTTACTCATTATCGCAGTCGTTATATGTGATATACATGTATCCGTTAGTGATTTGATATATTACAAAAAAAAATATCATATTAATACATCAAATCACAAACTGTCATATAGGATGCCACGTAAGGCGACTACCGCAATGAACGATTATGAATAGCATTACTCCATAAAAATAGGTTTTATTTCTTTTTTCATCAAGCTCAAAATTTAGGACACATTCGTTATTGAAAGTATAAATATCTTTACTTTTTAAATATGTCGCTATTTAATGTAACTTGTTATTAACAAATATAAACTAATCATATTTAAGTCATTATTTAATGTAGAGATATATATTAAGATATATTTATTTTTTCAACTATATTAATTACATATTCTTAATTTGTGTAAATATAGAAACAAGTCCATCATTATTGGACGGAAATTGTATATTGAATTTCGTGAATAGTCTAGATAGATAACATTATTCGTCTGTTAAATCTTAAAATTCAACTTGGAAAGTGGAAAGTTTTGGCCCTTTGTTACGGGAGAGACGAATATTTTATGGTATTGCACAATCGTCAATCCATGTGGAGACTCGTGTTAATACGATACTCAAAAGAAAAATGAATGCTAGCTATAGGCAATGAATGACATAGTAATTCATCATAAAGGATCTATTCGTCGACCTCTTAGAAGTCTATAAGGTGAAAATCTTTTGTAGAATCAGATATGCAAATTTTAATTGAATATTTACATGTAATCACTCTTATATACCAACTAATCGAATATTAACGTGTAATTGGACGAATAATTCGAAGACTCTCGGATGTTACGGTTGCTAATGAAACCTTAAATATTATTTCACTGGTGTAGCTTGTTTGAATAGACTATTAATTATGTCTTTTTTAATATTATTCAATTAAAAGAATAATTACTCTTTTAAATTTACGGCTGTACTCTTTGAATTTGAATATTTTCAAGTGCGCAGTATAATTTATAAAGATCAAATACCATTGTCAGCAACAAACAAAAAAAATAAAAATAAAATAAAAAATCTCAGTAAAACCCTACTGAGGTCAAAGCTGAATAGGCAAGATGCAACCGGATGAACCGGTATTTGGACTTGTCGCAAGACCACGAAGCCCTAACTTCGTGCGTCCCGTCATTGGATTCATGGACAAGTTAGACCAGTAGCCGGTCTTACCATGTGATTTTTGCCATGTACGAAACTTCAACTCTATCTTCCTCGAATATATATTAGCCTACACGGTGGTGGGGGACCGAGTATTGCGGCTACGCCCGCCCACCCACGCACCTACCTATGTTGTATATATATATGTGTGTATATAGGGCATGTTGCCTCAAAGACTTAAACGTTGAAGTTTATTTCTTCTTCCTTCTTCTTCGAGTTGTTCTTTATATGTATGTATGAATATGACAGTGAATGTATTTATATATTGGTGTGAGCGTTTATATATTTAAGTTGATTGACATTTTGTGTAAGTGTGCTGGATGAAGCCATTGAGTTTGTTTAATAATAAGTCAAATAGTGCAGGCTTAATCTCTATATAAGAATACCACTGCTGTTAACAGATCACACGAGAAAAAATTCTTAGAGAGGGAGAGAGAGAGAGTGTATAGCTTTTATGGAGCCTACTATGAAAAAATCAGATCATGAAGGTGAAGTCAAAGAAGAAAATAAAGCAGAAACAAGTTCTGAAGATAAAGGATGTGAAGAAGATGTTGCTCTTCAGGTATATATTTTATCTTTCTTTGCGTTTTTGATTTATGATATACAATTCTATGATTTTCGGAATCAAAAAAATATAGAAACAAGTAATAGTTCTTGGTTTAATTTTCACTTGTAAGTATGTGAGATTTTTCATAAAGCCATGTTCTAAATTGATCTTGTCACAAACAAAAAATAAATTAAATTTGATATATGCCATAGTTGGGATTAAAATCAGATTTTTAGCAGATGAAATATGGGGTTGAAAAATTATGGGCCTCGTGGAATATGTGATTGAAATTAATTATTGACTTTGATTAACATTAAATCAGATTTTTAGTAGATGAAATATGGGGCTGAAAAATTATGGGTCTCGTGGAATATGTGATTGAAATTAATTATTGACTTTGATTAAGGTTAAAATCTGAATTTTATCCATACTAAACAAGGGGATAAGATTATAACGTTGAGGCATGAGTTGCATTTAAGTATTGAGTGGTATAAAGGGTTGCACGGCCACCACACCCCATCTAGGCACATGCAATTTCGAGATCTAGGGAAATCTATTTTGGCTTCAGTTTTCATTTTGTCAATGAGATTGACTATCCTAAGCCTAATATTGTCTCTTAGGTGGGAAATGGAAAAGGGGATTGTGGCAATGACAGCTTGAAGTCATCTATTGATCAGAACAATATATCAAAGCATGTAAGTGAGGAAAAATATAAATTTAAATTGCACTAGATATTTTGATTCATTTCTTGATTTGTTACTGTCATTCATATATATATATATATATATGATAATTCGAGATAAAAAGTGATGAAAAGTAGAGGACAGGATGTAGGTGGTGATGTAAAGATATACATCTAATATGCGAACAAGAAATGAAGAAAATACACGACTATTAACCTCGGAGAGACATCGTTTACAGGATTGAGTTTAAAAGTCATATTCAATAAAAGATGCGATTCAGCAGCCTTGCAGCCCTTCTAAACCATTGACCAATAATTAAACAAGCTAGATTAATTAATGATTTTCAAACATCATATGCAACTTGTTACTACTTACAGACCTCGAAAGTCCAAATTTATACTGCTGATTTAATATGTTATAATTTAGAATAGGTCACTCCATTAATACTATTTCTTTTCATTCATTTTATATTATAGGCAATCAGTTTCGTCGTTTCATAAATGTGAATGAATTGAATTGTTTTCCTGCCCATTGGGGGCTAGATAAAATCTTCCAACTGCAGACATGGTAAGATAATCTTAATTATGATTCTCTGAATTGATGATCATTTTAGATAATCATAACTAAGGTTCTCTTGTTACATCGATGGTGAAAAGTTTTTATCTTGGAAGCCACAAATCACAACTATATGTATTAAATATTTGTTGAACCCTTCAATCCTAACGTTTAATAAAGCAAAATTATTTTCTAACAAGAAACATTTTGACAGGGACCTATTTTAACAAACATAAAGAGATCATCAGCTGAACCCGACTCAATGGCATCTTCTTCTGCCAAAAAGGATCAGGTTAGCTCTTTATCTTTCTCTTTTAAAAGGATATATCAAATAATGTCTCGAATTTGAATAAGAAGAGAAAATCTTGATCAAAATTTCTGTCTATCTATATAAGAGATATATCAAGATGAATATTTCATGAACTTGAATTGATATTTTTGATATTGCTTGTATTAATTGCAGGATGATCATCAACTTGATTTAGCGAAAGCTGAGATGGGTGAAGTAATTGAAGAAAATCAAAGGCTAAGGATGTATTTAGATCAAATTCTGAAGGATTATCGGACCCTTCAGTTGCAATACCAAGATGTGGTTCAACAAGAAGCTGCTAAAAAATCAACAAGTCCAATTCGAGATTCAGAAGAAGAATCTGCAGAACTTATATCCCTCAGCCTAGGAATGAGTTCAAGTGATCAATTTATAAAAAAAGATGGGTCCTGTAAGATTTCAAGAAAGGAAAAAGTGGATGAAAAATCAGAGAAACAGGGAAGCCTGGATCTAGGACTGGACTGCAAATTTGAAGTGCCACCAGTCAAACCTTCTCCGATTGGTAGCCCTGAGACCAGTGTAGAAGAAATTAAGGAAGAAACTGCAGGAGAGAATTTTCCACCCCATAACACGCTGAAGAATATTGTTAGAAATGGTGATGATGAACTCTCACAGCAGAACCCTGCTAAAAAAGCTAGGGTTTCGGTTAGAGTCAGATGTGACACCCCAACGGTAAGATTATTACATCTGTATTATCTTGAAATTGGTTTCGTTTTCTTGTTCAATTAAATACATAAGCTGAATTCTAATCTGATATATATTTTTGGTGTCAATATATAGATGAATGATGGATGCCAATGGAGAAAATATGGGCAGAAGATTGCGAAAGGAAATCCATGCCCTCGAGCATATTATCGTTGCACTGTTGCACCATCCTGCCCTGTCAGAAAGCAGGTAACATTATACTCCATAAAAATTGTTTGATCCTCAGGTTAAACAACATGGTATACTCTTGTCATGGTTGATAAGTTAAAAGAAAAATGAAATTAAGATCTTTTTAACTATGATGTCAAATACGTAAGATTACAGTCTATTTTAGCAAATAAGCTATTAGTTTTCAACTGAATGTGGAAGTGTACTAACGTATTCTCATTATTTTCTTGTTTTTGAACTTGTAGGTGCAAAGATGTGCAGATGACATGTCCATATTGATAACTACATACGAAGGCACACATAACCATCCACTTTCTGTCTCGGCCACCGCCATGGCCTCCACCACTTCGGCCGCTGCCTCCATGCTAATGTCTGGCTCATCAATCTCGGGATCATCAGGTGCAACCTCATCATCCACTCTCACTACAAACTCTGTGAATCTCAATGGACTCAATTTCCATTTCTCTGATAACTCAAGCTCAAAGCCATTTTACCTACCAAATTCATCGCTTTCATCCTCCCCTTCCTATCCGACTATCACTCTCGATCTCACTAATTCAGCCTCCTCTGCTCGACTAGGTAACTTCCCTCCTAGATATTCTACCACAAATCTCAACTTTAGTTCTTTGGAATCAAATGCTTTACCAATTTCTTGGAGTAACGGGGTCCTTAATTATGGAAATCCACCATACAATAAAAACCAAACTGGTTCTTTATACTTTGGATCTCATCCTCAAGAAACCTTATACCAAGCTTACTTGCAAAAGACTCTAAACCCTACACAACAGCCTCTTCCACCAGATAGTATTGCAGCTGCCACAAAAGCAATTGCTTCAGACCCAAGTTTCCAATCTGCATTGGCAGCTGCTCTAACATCAATTATTGGTTCTGGTGGTGCTACTGCTAGTACTGCAGGAAATCAAACTTTAGGTGATGAGTCCAGCAAAAATATTAAATCCAGCACAGAACCTAATTTTCCTATTCTCTCCAGCTTTCCATCACCCTCAAATGCAAACAAATGTGCTCCAAGTTTATTGAACAAATTGCCGTCCTCGTCTAGTTCTCAACCAGGCGGCTTGATGTTTCTTTCTAATCCATTTCCCTTTCCCACCTCCAAGAGTAATTCTGACTCTCCAGGTGACAAATAGGGATCATGAGATCATATCAGTCCATTGGTTTTTTGCATGCTAAACTACATTGAATTTTTATCTCACTACAAAAATAGAGCCAGGTGAAACTCTTAGCATGGAGCAATTTTCCCATGGATTTTTTCTTTTTCTAAATTTATCTGGCAAAGGGATGATGTAAGCTGAAGATAAATTGTGCACATAGATAATGACTGGTGGTAAGGAAACTTGAATAACTGCCAGTAATTATTATTATTATTATTATTATTATTATTATTATTATTATTATTATTATTATTATTATTATTATTATTTTGATGTATGACCAACTTTTATGACCAACTTTTGTAACAACTTTGGATATTCCTATGTAATTTGATGCCAATGATAATGATGTCTCTATTGTAAAATAATTAAAAAACGGCCCAGATTGATGTAAGTTTTTATCTTTATTTTTTGATCTCTAAACAAATTTTTTTTATCATACTCTTGTGTTGGTTTTCTTGTTTCTTGCCTTAACTAGTAAAGTATAGGGTGTTACTAAACACTTAGGGTCTCTAAAGCTAAGTTTGAAGGCTGTTTAATAATTCTTCTTTGCAAGAAACAGGAATTTGGGAAGTCCAGAAAATGCTCGAAGAAACCTCCTACTCCGTGACTAATTTATTTTTATGTCCCTTCAATGCATACCCCCTTGCAACTTTTTTCACTTTCATTTCTTGCTCCTTTAGCATGCCTTATTATTTTAATTTCTTAAGCAGAAAGGTAAAAGATTTAATTATGGTGTAATTACGAACTTTTGTTGATATCATGACATATCTGTCAACCGAGATCAAGTCAAACAAATTTCAAGGTTTATAGTGAAATTCTTGTTGGAATTTTTATTAAACTTTAAATCTTAATAATATGAAAACCTAATTATTTTATTGTCAAGATCCTCCATATTAAATCATCAAGACAATTATAAAGTACGGAATATACCTTAATTCATTGTGAATGTTTCTTTAATATTTGATCTTGATTCTAGATATTAAATCTTAAATATTAACTCTTTTGATTCTTGATTTTGATCCATAATCTTGATTTTTGATATTGGGCTCTTGAATTCTTTAATCCTTCTTTTTGATTGTGAGTTTTGGATTTTCCTCTTTAATATGATTTCTCATGTATTCTTGCGTTGATGAGATATCACAAAGGATGAGAAATTGTATATGAATTGGAGACCGTAATCCTATATATAGTTTTCATATTTATTTCGTCCATCATGAAATACAATTGTAAAGGAATTTGATCTCTATATATAAAATCCGGCCCATACCTTATTTAGATGTCCAAAGCCCATTACTCAATTCTTTATTAGATCACTTTAATTTTGGGCTTAATTTTAAAATATCCATTATACACAATTATTTATACACGTCGGCTCACATGGCAAATTAAATAATTTCCCAACAATCTCCTACTTGGGCTACATATATTACCTTATATGTATAACTTTATGAGCTAAAAAACTTTGCTATTATAACTAAAAGTATATCCGAACAATCTCGTCTATCAATTATGTAAATATAGAATCAAAGTGATTTTCGTTGCAATTATCATAACAAAACTCTCAATGATCATGTATATTAATACAACCATATGACATAGATCAAGTATAGATATGTAGCATGAAAATTATATGCAATGTGATCTAAACATATCTAATTCCAACTCGTCATACCTTATTCTTTAATGAGATCAAACAAAAACTTTAATCAGAGTGAAACTGAACTAAATATTTTATTTTTGAATTAAACTGAATATCCATGGATAAAAATGTGTGTAAAACAGACAACATCATAACACAAACTCCCACTACGTCAAAAGATGTGACACCCATGTGAGCATTATGCTTGGTGACAGCCATTTAATAAATGGACCCATAACTGTGGCATTTATCTTAACATGCTTTACAGAACCTGACCACTCTAAATTCTTTCCTTAACAATTAGGAACTTAATGTCTATAAACTTTGACATCGTCAAGCTCATATTGGAATACAAGACTATTACTGTCATAGAACAACTTAAGTGGTCTTTTAATTCCATCTAAAATGTGCAGCCAAGTGACAAAAGTCCACAATCATATTCCATGATCAAAATTAGAATATTCAATGATCTCCAATTGGTCTGATTTTCTATATGCGATCATGTAATTCTTAGTTCTCTTTAGATAACGAATAATCTAATTGGATGCTTTCCAAATATCCATCCCAAAGTTCTTTAAATATCTGCCCAACATTTCAATAATAAATGTTATATCCAATGTGTGCGAACCTAGGCAAACATTAAACAATCAACTGCTGAAGCAAATGTAATTTTCTGAATTTTATTTTATTTAAATTTATCCTTAGGGTATTGATTGAGACTAAATTTGTCTCCTTTAGTAATAGGGGTATCATCTGATTACATACTTGCATCCCAAATCTTTTAAAAACTTATTGATATAGTTCTTTTGTGATAATCCAAAAATACCTAGAGCATGATCCCGATTTATCTGTATCCTTGATACAAAAGATGCGTTACCAAGATTTTTTAGTTTAATATTCCATGACAGAAATCTCTTGGTATTCGTGCAATAAGTCTAGATCATTGTAGACAAGCATTATGTTGTCGACATGCAATAGCAAAAATTATACTCACTCCAACTGAACTTGTAATATACATAATCATCAACTATATTTATCTTAAAATCAAACGAGATAATTAGTTGATAAAATTTGTGATATCATTGACATGAAGCCTGCTTAAACCCATAGATGAATTTCTTTTATTTGTAAACCATCATATGTAGCTCAATATTGTTCACAAAAATATTTTTCAAATTAAACACACTGCAAGTGTACGATTTGTTAACAAGTAATAAAGTGGATTTGAGTCCAAGTATCATCCCACAGAGATTGATTTAGTTCGATTTTAATTATTGTAACCCTAATCGAAACAAGGACAATAAGATATTTGTTCGTTGTGATGAAATTATAACTAAATTAAGCTACTTATGCAATTATAAATGAATTAACTAAATTAAATAGAAATTATACCAAATGAAAGTTGATGTGTTTTAATGAATGACATACGCACTTGGATCCCGAATTTTCATGTAATAATCATTTTTAACCATAATTCTACACCTTAACAACATGATTAAATTTTGACGAATTAATGTTCCCATTTTATTTAACAATTTCTCTCGTGTAATGTCAAACTTATTCTTATATATGACCCGATTATATTTCTTTGACGGATGCGAACATACAAGAGAGTATGATTTTTTATGAATACTTAAAGATTCATGTAAGGCATAGCGGCATATTTTTATCTCCTATCGGACTCTATGACGATTTAAACCATGTCTAGTCTATTTTTGTTATTTCAAATTTATAAAATAAGACACCACGTTCACACAATTGCCGTGCATCATAATAATAGAGAAAAGAAATTCATATAAATCATTCAATATCTAAAAACATGTTTTTGTTATCAGATATGTAATATCACATGGTTTATCATTTTCCTAACACAAATAACTCTAGCCTAACATGTTAGGAAGAAGAAAACAAAAGAAATATTGAATAAACAATATCACCGAATTTAATCTTGAATTGAATTTTTGAATCTTGGAATCGATTTTCATGTTTCTTGCCTCCATCTATGCTCTAAAACCTATATGAATTTGTTATGAAGCGTCCTCCCTATTGGCAACGCAAGGGCGTTAACAGGCATCCCAGAATTTGTTTTCATAACTATTTCAGTCATATAAGGAAACCAAAAATTTTTCTTCGAAATTGTACTATGCTACAACATAGTACAAATCAAGGCTATAGCATTGTACGATGGAACTTGACCCTGAAACTATCTAAAGGTCACTACAGGACTACATGGAGAGGTAAACTATGTGACCTCATAGTATAAATTAAATTCCAAGAATTGCGTTTTAGTCCCTGAACTTCGTTTCCTCGTTTCTTAACTCTTTTTCTCGTTTCTTCTTCTTCCAATAGTTCATGTCTTCGTTAAATTGGTCTTTGACTTTTTCACATCTTCATTTCTTCTTACAGATGATCTCTCGAATATTTTCATTTTGGTCTGTAAACTTTGGTTTTCTTTCATTTTAGTCCTTTCGTTTGTTTTTCCTAAATTCTACCATATTCATCAATGTTGTCCTGCAAAACATTATTTATATAAAATTAAGCCATATTTTGACATATTTGCCAATAATTATCCATGTTTTGTGATCTAATTTACACAGTTATCAAAGACAGTGTGTTACAAGTATCATAATAGTCCTAAAAGAGTCTTTCATAGAAACACCGAGAGAAAGTTTCTTTAATGTCAATACCTTACTTTGAATAAAGTCATTTGCAACAAGATGAGCCTTATATCTCTCCATATTATCCTTCAAATCCCTCTTGATTTTAAATATCCATTTACAACCAATAGGTGCACCTTCAGGCAATGTGATGAGTTCCCAAATGTCATTGTTATACATTAACTTTATCTATTCATTCATGGCATCAATCCACTCTTGATAATTATTTCTTTGTATTGCAGATGAAAGTTGATTAATCAGATCTTCTTCCACCAATACAATATCATCCTTATTTTCTTAGAGAAAGACTACAAAATTTATTTGAATTGCCTTTCTTTCTTTTTTAGTGGATCTCCTTAATGACATTTGTTCTTGAGGTTGTTGAATATGTTCTTCTAGAGCAATCTTTTGATTGTATATAGGTTTTTTTTTTTATAATATTGTATTGATCCAAATTTGATCCTTGAACAAAACTTAGAGCAAAAATTTGTTCCTGGCCCTGATCATTGTCAATTGCAACAGAAGAAAGATTAACATATTATTCCTCTAAGACAAAATATTTAATCTTGTAACTTTATCTCCCCTACGAATTCTACATCCTCAAAGAACTAGACATTTTTCATTTTGAAAATTGTCCTAATAGTGGGATCTTTTAAAAATTTGTAACCCCTTAAAGTTGTTTTACTAGGAACCTTATTGAGGATTTAAGCTCTAGTCTTTAGTGCTTCGTCCTAGAGTGATTCTAGTAAGGTAAAATGACTGATCATACTATATAACATGTTCTTAAATGTTTTGTTTTGTCTCTCAGTAACACCATTCATGCTAGGAGACCCTGGCATATTGTACTGTGGGATGATTCCACATTCCTCTAGAAATTTGAGCAAAAGGCACTGGACATTGTAGTCTTGATCTGTCATATGTGACGTAATATTCACCACCACGATCAAATCTGACGTGTTTTATTCTTTTGCTAAGTTGATTTACAACCTCAACATTGTATGCCTTGAACATGTCCAATGTTTAGGATTTCTCATAGATGAGATATAGGTA